ATCCTAGAATATAGCCCTTGAGAACCTAAGGATATTCCGAGAATATGGCACTTGAGGACCTAAATGACAAGGGAATGCTAATGGATCACTGGTGGAGTACAAATGGAGTAGGATTGAGTACAGGTGGAGTATGAGTGGAGTAGAGTAAATTACGGGTGGAGTAGAATGGAGTACGAGTGGAGTACCGACGGAGTAGAGTGGAGTACCGATGGAGTAGAGTGGAGTATCGGTGGAGTAGAGTGGAGTACGAGTGGAGTACTGGTGGAGTAGAGTGGAGTACGAGTGGAGTATCGGTGGAGTAGAGTGGAGTACGAGTGGAGTCGAGTGGAGTATCGGTGGAGTCGAGTGGAGTATCGGTGGAGTCGAGTGGAGTATCGTTGGAGTATGCACTCCTGGAGTACCGCCTTTTCCCCCTTGGATTGACCACATACTCATACCCGATGTGTTTGATTAGTGTACATCATCATGGAGTGGACCTCTATGTGAAACACGTACGTATTTATTCATTATTCATTGGTTAGTGTCGTAGAAAATTCGATAAAACAATCACTTTCATAGCTGATTTTATTGAAAGCAATAATTGGACTATGATTTTTCAATATTTCTTAGCCGTGTGTTCATCGCAATGCTTAAACGGTGGCAGTTGTACCAAACCGAACGTTTGTACGGTAGGTCTAAAATGAACTTTCAGAAAAATTTTCACTCACATTTTTTGGATTGTTTACTGTACGTCGTTATGGGCTGGGACTCTCTGTGAAATACGTATGTATTGATTTATTATTCGTGGATTGATGTTGTATTAAAATTTGATAAACTAGTTATTCTCAATTGATTTTGGGAAAGCTATCTAATAACTATACACATTCAGAGAACTTTTACATTGAAAGAAATGATTATTTTCTATTTCTTAGCCGTATGTTCACCTCAATGCTTGAACAATGGAAACTGCACTGGACCAAATATTTGTACTGTAAGTCTGTAGCAGAATTCTATTGAATATATTCATATGTTGTATAATATTTTAGTGCGATTCATTTTGGGAGGGTTATCGATGTGAAAAATGTACGTATATATTCGTTCTAATTCAAGCAATTGTGAATTTTTTCTAGAACGTAAATAATTTTGATGAATGTATTCGTATACATGACTTTGTTATATTACTTCAATTTTTATATTATGATATGGAAATATTACTTTTCAATTTTACAGTACGACAAACTTCTGAAATGCAGTAGTGTCAGACTTGAAATTTGAATACATTTATTGAAAACCTTTTCAAATATCCAATTATTCATATATTTAAATATTTTTATGATACCCACAATAACGAATACACGGTGTATGTTGTTTCATTATACTTCCACTGAGAGACACTTCATGTATATCGTTTTGTACATCAACAAAGAGAGACATGTGTTAGATTTGAATATTTGAATGCTTGAAAAAGTTTTTCAATAATTGAATTCAAGTTTCAAGTTTCACATGTAAGGAGCTACGTTAGATCTTTCAAATTGCAGGATAGATCAAGTTGTCGAGACAGATCACTTTTATAATATGTACAACTAGAGTCGAGATAGAGTAAAAATGACTATTTTGCTCTAGTATCTTCACAATATTGATTAAAAACATACCAATTTTATAAAAATTAATATCATGTTTACAATCAGTTAAATGCATGGAATTTAGAAATGAATATTTCAAATACTTGTGTGAATCTTTTTTTCATAACGTAGTCAAATTTCTACCTTCCCGCAGGGTTTTCCATGAGCAAATCAATTCCACTAAAAACTCATTCAGATAATCAGTGACAAGCTTTAAAAGTTGAGAATTGTGTTGAAACACTTCTGATGGGAGAAAGGAAGATGAAAATATGTTGAAAGTACTACAGTGATGAATTCGAGTTTCTTATAGATTTTAGATCTTTTTGTAAGATCTCGAAAAACCGAAATCGAGTGAAATACTTTTTCCAATAAGTTTAATACAGTTGGAGAGTCTCGATGTGAGTGGCTCTATGCAACTGTAGTCGTTTACATCAGGATTCACACCTACATCAAATACAGGAAAGCTTTCTTAATTTAGCGGGTTCAATTAGAAAGAGCTAGAAGTGACGCTAAAAATTGCAGAAAAGAATTTGTCACTAGATTATCCCTAAACTCTAATGAGGATGTATAGATAAAGACAAAAGAACTAAACTTGGACGGACTACCAGCATTTTTTTTGTGTGCTCTTGACTAGTAAGAAAGATGACTAAAATGTTAAATAAAGAATGGTATACGAAATCATATGAAATATATTGTTTTTAAAGTTTAAAAATAGTTTCTTAAAGAGTAGTATTAACGTACAATTTAAAGTATGTCTCATAGACTGTACAAACGGCTTCAGTCTAAAACATGATACTAGTTTCTGAAACTTGTATAGAGTATAGTCGGTTACGTTGAACACAACATGAGTGCTAAAAGAGAAAAACATGCAAACGAGATGTAGTACATTTAACTGTGTACTTGATTGTGATTAATTAGATGAAGACACTGATTTCTGTATGATTAATCCTCGGATAACTCATGTAATTCTGATCATCACTGAGATGACAACTACTACAATGTTGATTTTCACGATTCAATCAGATATTTAATTCTCAGAACTACATTGTATTCCTTTCCTAAACTCATAGAGGAACGAACATACCGTTTTTGAGATGAACTTTGCATTTCGATTAATTCTTAGCGTTATTCTTTCCGTTGCAGCACCACTACGTAGTGCTTTTATTCCTGAAAATGCTTATTGGATACAAAATGGTGTTACTGTCGCTGGTGGCAATGGTGATGGTCATTGGCTCAATCAACTCAAAAGTCCATTAAATGCGTTTATTGATGGAAATCGAACCATGTATATTGCCGACTATGGAAATCATCGTGTCATTGAATGGAAGCTAGATTCATTAACTGGTCGAATCGTTACTGGTGGAAATAGACAAGGAAATAGAAATGATCAGTTAAGTCGTCCGACAGACCTAATATTAGATAGTAAAACAGATAGTTTGATAATTTGTGATTTCGAAAATAAACGGATACTGCGATTATCACGTACGAAAGATACAATACCAGAAGTCATGATTCCTAATGTCAGCTGCTATGGTTTGACAATGGATGAAGAAGGTTTTCTCTACATCGCTCATTATGATGATTGTTCGATTGGACGATGGAAGATTGGAGACAAGCATGGGACAATTGTAGCAGGTGGAAATGGAAAAGGTGATGGTCTTCATCAACTAAATGGCCCTACGCATATGTTTGTTACTAAAAATGGTTCTGTCTATGTATCGGATTATGGAAATAATCGTATATTCAAGTGGATGAAAGGTAGAAAAGAAGGTATTATTGTAGCTGGTGGTCAAGGAGAAGGTAATGGTCTTAATCAATTATATCGTCCTCATCAAGTAATCGTGGATCAGTTGGATACTATGTATATAGCGGACTACCTTAATCATCGAATTATGCGGTGGGTTAAAGGAGCTACGCAAGGAACAGTTATCATTGGTGGACGAGGTCCTGGTGAACAATTCAATCAAGTCAACAATCCCTCTGGGATATTGTTTGATCAAAAGGGAAATATTTATGTGATTGAATATTCAGGTTATCGAGTGATACGATTTAGAATGGATTTAAATGTGGATTGATAGCGATCGAAAATTGACTCAAATGAACTATCCCTTCTATTTAATCTCTTTCTTATATATTACATTAACCGTTCTATTCTATTCTATTTTAATAGACTTAAAGCTTAAATGATGAATTAATATTTTTTAGTTTTGGTATCTTATTTTGTGACTCAAAAAATATTCAATTTTCAGGGATGTGGATGTGTGGTGTAGATACCAGTACATTAATACTTTCTAACTACACAGACAGTGAACATTCGTATTCACATACAGGCTTACACCCGAAGTCCACATGCTCAAATTAATAACCACATGTTTACCGTGAAAGATATTTAGTGACTAAATCTTTCTGTCCATTTCGTCTCTAACAATAAGATTTACGACATATGAGCACGACACATTTCACTTCAATATGTCTCCATGGATATTCCCTTTATAATTTTCTTTTATTTATCAAACGCTGATTGATTTATTTTTCAATTAACTGTATTTTTTCTTTCATCATTTGAACTGATCCTGTCGCTATGGAACTCTACAGTAAATAAATTTAAACTTTCTGAATATCACTTTTGGGTTAAGCACATTATCGTCAATATAAAGATGCTCTTCAAACGACTGCAATATGGTCTCTTAGAACATTAAGCAAGTACTGACCTAAGTAAATTGTACTGCACGCTAGATTTCGATTACACAAATAGAAAACTCTTTACGAATCGATTAGGGTGTGTGTGGGTATGGGTGCGGGTATGGGTCGGAGAGTGTGGCTGTGCGTGTGAGTATGGCTGCTTTAATCTGCACTCATACTTACTTCCACACTCAACACAAATCACACACTTACACTCGCCGACACCCACATCCCACACCCAAACCTAAATCCACACCCACACCCCACACCCACACCCACCCCACACCCACACCCACACCCACACCCACTAATTTATATGGATAAGCTTATAAATATCTCAAACAAAAATAGTTTTTGTGAAATTCATCGTAATTTATTTCTAAGAGCGATGATAATTTTTTAAATTCTTGTCTATAAGTCTTTGATAGTAATACAAATGTAAGCATAGATGAAATTATTATTTTAAATGTTCTATATAAGTTCGATTAGAGTGAACATTTATTCTATAAAAATATTCATCAAACAGCAATCTATTTCCTGCTACTTTTATTGAATCACTATGCATTGAGATTATCCCGATCAATTTTGTTTGAATACCAGAATCGATTAAAATATCATAAATAAAGGAAGAATTACTTTTAAAAAATTTTAATAAAACTTACGATTTATTTTATTTACACATAAAAATAATGAATTTAAGATCAAGAACAAGAACAATTATGTAAAACAAAATTTGAACAATGATGATTTTCTAAAGCTTTTGTGTTTATATGACGATGAACAAGCTTTTAAATTAGATTTTGATGGCTAAATAAGAATAAAACGACAAAATATGAATAATATTTGTATTACATAAGAAAGAACCTACTTGTTCTTCAATCCACCAATTAATAATAAACTCTGATCCATTGTTAGGTATATGATATATTCGACAGAGTGAAGTACCATGTGTAAGTTGTTTTACTCGTGAAACAAGTAAATCTGGATCATATCGAAATATTTGTTCTTGATTAGAGAACGGACCACATGAAATAAAAGATGCATTTAGTAAATGTACAAATCCATTTATTAGACGAATCATAATATATGGTGATGGGATATTAGATTTATATATTAGATATTTTGTATATAGAAAAAGAAGAAATAATTCGTCAATGATATAGTAATTATACTCATCACTAATTCTAATTGTAAGCTTTTGAATTTGTTCAAAAGCATAAGTAGACATTCGTTTTATTGCATGTTTTGTTATATCATTTTTAACCGAGAGTTCATATAAACAGAGTAGTTTTATTGAAATTGACATAAATTTTAATAAATATTCTAAAGATAAAATTGATAAATGTTTAACTTGATTAAGATCGACTATACGTAATAAATAGTTTAATGGAATTGAATATTTGAGTTTTAATATGTTGATATTAATGAAATAATGCTTGTCAATTTTAACTTTTCTCACAGCTAATTCATTTATATGATTATAAAAAATTGTATTATTAGGTGCTGTTGAGTAAATAACTGATTGATAAGAAGAATCCATTTGTTCAGGAGCAAAATAAGGAATAGAAAAAAGGTAATCATCGTAATATGTAACAAACCAATGTTTTTCTGCAAGCCAAAATGATGTTCGAAATGAATCAAGAATTTGTTCAATAAAGTTAAAACATATGTATATATCGAATTTGAAATAAAATATGACTAAAGAATTCGTTAATGTTTGCCAACGTTTTCCATCCGCTAGATCAGTATAACCTGCCATATGCAATTCAAGATGCTTCAGATGCAAGCAATGTGACAAAAAATGTTCTATATAATCCATTGATACCGGGAAAACTATAAAACAACGAAATAGAAAGATTTTCTCAATGACATTTCATTTTTGTACAAGAACTTTCCAGAAACAATATTACTACTTAATTAAGTCATGCAAATTATTTAACAACAGTAAATATCAATCAAAAATTTTTGAATTTCTAAAATTTATCTATTTTTGACGAATACCAATAACATAAGAATAAATTGAACTAGTAAGCCTCATAATTAACGTAAACTCTTGATCAAATACCAAATAGATAATTACTGAAAGCATTTAGTTTTATAATATGAAAAGTTAGTGAGCTATTTTTTCTCTTCAATTTTATCTATATAATAATCAAGTCATATAGGAACGGATCAGTAAAGACTAATCGTTTTTAGTTTTATTTTGTTGAAATAATACTTACAGTAAATTTTTAGATTGAGTCGAATGAGTCGCGTTGGTAATATAATAGATTGAAAATTTATCTCTCCAGAATCAATACAAACGTCAAATGATTTAAGTTGTGATGCTAAATGAGTAATTATTTTGAATTTATCAATTGAACAATTTTCAAGGTTTAAATATTGAAGATTCGAAAGTGGTATCGATTCTAATACCCAATCATCATCTAAATTTAAAAACTTTAATTGAGGTAATATTTGAGTATAAGTATGAATTAACATTGAATTTATCTGTTGAAATTTATTTCCAGAATTAAGATCCATTGGTCCATATCTATATCTAATTGTAAAAGTATCAAATGTAAATGAACATAATTGATTAAGTTTTGATAAGTTGTAAAAAATAAATTCTAATGATTTAAATTTAATTTCAATTAAAATAAGTGATTGAAGTTGAATAAATTCCCAAGTGAGCTCAAGACGGGCTAAATGACTCGTCTTTTTTCTAGTCATGTAGACCCGTCATGCCCAGTCTTTTTCTCAAATTCGACTATGACATGCCTAGTCCGAGATTTTTGGGCGTCATGAAGCTCCGTCTAAATCACATGATTGACGGGCGACATTATACGTATCCAGTCTAGTCTTTTTTTGAGAAAGACTCGTCTAGGACTGGGTCGAAGTCGCTTGATACAGGACGTTATTGTCTAATATGCAGACTAGTCCCAGACGAGGACTTTTTGAGACAAAGACTAGACATGACAATCGTCATGACGACCGTCCGATATGTCTCAAGCAGTAAAAAAGGTATGCCTAAGAACACTAGTCCCTGACGGAGTCATATACTAGTCTTACAACTGCTACAATCAGCGTCTGGACTAGTCTTGTAATTGTCATGGTCGGCGTCTGGACTAGTCTAAACGAAAGGAAGATAAAGACGAAGAGTAGATTCGAACATGTGAACTTTATAGTACTTACGTGTAGCATTTATCCAATTGAACCATAGGATCCGAAAGACAGTTTTTATCATTTCAAGGTCTTTCTCACACTCTGATTCGCTTTTAACACCCTAAATGTTTACTGATTTTTATCAGTGAAATATCATTTTTATTTGTATCAGTTCATAAAAAATATTTAATGCGCAATGTTCTCTCTGTCGATTTATTGATTTTTGCTTCGATGCAACATATGTTTTATATTGAACCCTCCAACATAAAATTAATGAGATCTTGGAATTATTTTCTTCAACATTATTTTTTATTATTATCATGTGATCTTTACAAGTTTGTTTATTTTACATTAAATAAAAGATAATTTTTAAAACAATGAATTAGTTTATTTTAATTTAACTATTATCTTTTAAATTAGGATATTCAAGTACAGTTACACAATTACCAGGTCTAAAAATCATCGCATGTTTTTTTATAACCCATTTTGGATGTTTAAGATGGTAAATATTTGATCTATATAAAATGAATATATTTGGAACTTTTATAAATTTATCATTCAATTTAAATTTCATTTTTGATGAATCTGATTTTTTTTCAACAAGTTCTTCGATTAACAATCTAACAGTATCCTGTTTTGACTTCACAATTGCTCGTATAAGACCCATTTTTTGTTGATTATCAGAAAAATAAAATGATATACAATTATCAGCAAATAATTTACCATATGATACTGTTGTTGTTTTTAACAAAACATTTGAAATTTTGACAGAACGAAAAAATATTAAAGGATCTTTAAAATAAGATTGTACGATAGCAGCTATACCATGTTCAGTATTATCATATAAATTTGATGAAACAGATTTTGGCAGGCTACATCCATCAATAATAGTTTGATAATGAACTAATGATTGTTTTCGAGGGTGTGGGTGTGGGTGTGGGTGTGGGTGTGGGTGTGGGTGTGGGGTGTGGGTGTGGGTGTGGGTG